CTTTGGGAATAGAAAGGAATTGCAGTTGGGGACATGTAATCTAAGTTGGGCAAACAAAGGAGAGGAATGTGTTATTTTAGAGAGAAAAAGGCGGAAGAGGGAAGGGCTGCTTTGAAGTAAAGTCCATTGGAAGAAAGCGAGAGTGCGGGGTGGTGAGGGGTTCCTGTTGGCTGAGCACTGGGGGTTTCTTATTGGCTGAGGGGTGACGGTCTGTTATTGGCTGGGCTGTTGCCGGGCGGGGAGAAAAATCTTCCCTTCTCTGTTTTCCCTGAGTAGAGACCTTGCTCCTGTTGGGTCTGCAGAGGAGCCGGGTGGCACCTGCCTGAGGGCGCCCCCTTCCACCTCCGTCTTACATGAGGGTCCTTTTACTGATTTTCACACAAATCAGGGAATCCTGAATTCTCTCCCAGAGGGTTGATTCAAGGCACTGAGGTTTAGTGGAATAAGCACAGGGCATCCCACCGGGAATCGCAGGCCAATGGGGAAGCGTTTGCTCACAGGCCCTTGAGAGCCCGGGAAGAGAAGGTGGTCCCTGTTCTCTGGGTGGGGCTGGGGGAGGGTGTGGGGAAAGGACCAGAGCCCCTCGCCAACTTGAGGGGACTCGGCACCTGCTCGGGGGCAGGGGAGGGAGAAAGTGGGTTCTTGGCCGGTGGCCTCCCTGGACGGCAGCATCGCCAGAACTGAACCCAAACACGGGAGCCAGCCTGCATGGGCTTTCTTGTCCTGAGGAGCGTTGCTGAAACTCCGCATGCGGTGAATTGGCAAGTCTGCCAGTCCAGCCTCCAGGGGTGTCTTTCAGGGAACTCTACCCATCACCCCCACCCACCCACCCCTCCCTGGGGCCGGCTCTGTCAGTATCCCACAGGCCTCTACAGCACAGGCACAGCCAGCTTTAGAAACGTAAATTAGGTGAAGCTGTTAGCAACAAATGCATTTTCATACATACATAGTTGAGAGGTTTTAGTTTACACCATTTAATTTTGGGTAGAGAAATACTTTCCCTCTGAGTATCGTAGAATAGCCAGATCTGTTATTTCTGACTCTTTTTCATAGTTTGCCTTTACAAAATTATAGTCATTTAAAAATTTGCTGGTGGAAAAACCCATAATTAGGGATAATAAAAACCTTACAAATAAAATCGAACAAAGTAATATCTCATCTTCACTTAATATTTTCAGTATTCTGTTAGTACCTCCCGACCTCAGTGCTCCGGGAGGAGTTTGTAACTCGTGGATTACAGGGCGCGTCACTACGTGCTAGTTCCGTTGATTTTTGCTTCTGTCTCAGACGTGGGAAATGTGTATATTTTTAATTGTTCTTTCTCAAACTCACAGCATTTTGTGCATTGCCTAGACATATTAACAAGTTTTTAAATGAAACTTGGGGATTTAAATCATGTGTCACCATTGTGCCTTTCAGGGGCTGCCAAGCTGTGGCTTGGGGCCAACCGTGGACTCAGGCTGGGCGTGGGCTCCGAGCTGGGTAGGCAGGTGCTTCAACTGTGGTGGTTTGCAGACCTGGGCTCAGCCAGGCAGGTTTTGGCCTCTGCACGTGGCACTGATGTAGGTCCCACAGAGGCAGGGACTGGGGTCGATGCTGTCAGAGATGCACGCTCAACGAGAGCTCGATTGTACACACGTCTTAGCAGCACCGTGGGAAGCCATTCGTTTTGGCCTTTGCAGGGCAACTCCAGCTGTGAAGGGGTTTCTGGTCCAGCAGATGATGGTGCCCACATGGTTCTGCAGGGAGGGCCAAGGAGTGAACTCTGGAAACCCTGGACCATTCAGCAGCACACGAGTCCCACCTCCCCACCCCCAGCTGCCTTGACTGAGCAGGGATGTGGGGGCCTCTGGAGGCACTTTCCTGGGGCCTAAACTCGCAGGCAGGCAGCACTGCATTGTTTCAGGGCCATCCTGACGGACCACCAGACTGCGGGCTGGAGACAGCAGGGGTTATTTGCCCTCAGCCTGGAGGCTGGAAAGTCGTGAGGGCAGCAGGGCTGGGCTCCCTCTGAAGGAGGCACGGAGGCCATTCCTATGTCTTCCAGCTTCAGGTGGAGACAAACCCTCTATGTACACGTGCCTCTGTCTTCTGTTCTCATCGGGGCATCGGCCACTGGACCCGGGTCCATGTCCCCCAGTGGAGCCTCATCCTAACTTGATCACACCTGCAAAGAGCCTGTTTCCAGTAGGGTCCCACTCCCAGGGGCTGGGACTGGAACATACCTTTTGGTTAGGGTTAGGGTTAGGGTTTCCTGAACAGCTCAGGACCTAGAGAAGGCATCTGGGCCAAGATTATTTCTTTTTAAGATACTGGAGACAACTAAGATCTAATTTTAAATGCAATTGTTAAATACAACAAAATCACCTGTACTTCAAGCAAGCCTTGGCTCATTCTTACCCAGTTAATGGGCCAAAGGTGTTTGGAAGACACTCTCTCACCTTATTCATGTAGAGGCACCTGCTACTGTCCTGGGGCCACAGACGAAACAGGGCCCAACACCCTGAACCACACAGCCTTCAGAAGCCTGCCGTGACTTCCAGCAGAATCAGCAGGCGATCGTTTCTGGGCTCTGACGTGCAGAAGAGCGTCTGGGATTCACTGAGTGTGGGGGCCTCCGTGCTCTGATGGAAGACGGGTGTTCAGAGACTTGTGTGCACGTGCGTCAGGATGGAGGTGGCAGGATTCCCTGAAGGTTGCACCCTTCTCATTGGTGTGAGATCACAACGTGGTATGTGGTGATTAGTCTATGGGGGTCGGTGTCCCGCGGCGTTCAGGGAGGTTGACCCAGGCTTCACAGGGAGCACCTTAGTCCTTCCATGAGAGCTGCCAGTGATGTTCTGCATGACGTTCTGCTTGGGCTGCTGGGACACAGCACCGCGGGCCAGGTGGGCGACACCGCAGAACTTCCCCACCTTACGGTCCGGGGCGGGGGAGGCTGAGTCAGCATTCCAGGGCCACCTGAGGATGTGGGCGCCGACCGGAGGACGGAGGGCACTGTAGACAGAGGACTGAACTTCCGCAGCGTCACGTTCGTGCAGGCTCTGGTTTAATTCCACTGCGTCTCTTGACTCCACCATCACGTTCGGGCTTGGGGTCACCTGGCCCCTCCTCCCTCCTGTGTACCTGGCACTGTCCTCTCTTGTGGTGGCAAATGCTGCTGCCTTGAATTCTGTGGTGTGAATCCAGCCCAGAACTGATGCGTCTCAGCTCGGAAACCCCGCTTTCTTTTCCGCACGGAGACCCACCTGCGCGTCCCTCGGGTACAGGGGTCGTGGGAACTGTCGGCCTGTCTTTGCAGTTCCCTTGGCCCGTGTTAGGCAGTCCTGGGGCTCCTGCACAGACAGTAGTAGCTGAACACAGACGCCGCCTTAAGACTCTTTAAACCAAACTTTCTATATTTATTCAGAAATGCGCACTGTTATCCAGGGTCATGAGACTAACGTGTGTTCTCAAAACCCCAGGTTTCTTCTTGAACCTCCTCGGGTGACATTTGTTTGTCTTTTTCAAGCCAGGAGAGAAAACTTTACTTTCAAAACCCAGTCTTTAAGTAAAGGACAGCAAAGGTGTCCCCTCCACGTCCCGCCAGCACTGCGTTCATGGCGGCTGTCTGCCCGAGGACAGCCTGCACCTGCACTAAAATAGATGTGGAAACACCGCTGTGGTCACCTGGTGGACCTGTTCATTGCTGCGGCCACGGAGAGGAGCAGAGCGCCTCAGGTCCCGACCTGGCGCCTCCTGCGGCTTAGGGTCTGGGGACCTGTAACCGGTGGTGGTTCCAGGGGTGTATTGCGGGAATAATTTCTGCTTGTATGCAAGTAGCACTATTTCCTAGAAAAAGTAACTGAATGTGAGAGCTGCTGGACTTTTGCCAAAATAGTTTCTCATAAGAAAAGTTAGGTGTTTGCTTGAAAAATATGTGTATTGACTAGTCAGTCATAGATGAGATTAGATTTTCAGCCCCATTCATTAAAAAATGATTAAGTATGAAAGGAATCTCATTTTAAAGCATGACTGAGATACAGTCACGCTGGTTACTTCACGGGGTGTCTGCACAAGGGTGCTTTCTCATGGCGACATGTGGAGCACAACTGGGGGAGGAGGAGGTGTGACAGCTGGGGACACTGTTCCTGTGGCTGGATATCAAATATGAGCCTAGTGGGGAAAGAGGGGGCGTCACTGACACCAGCCTGGATGGACTGAGTAAGTGACACCAAGTGTGATATTTGACACTCAGAGGGGGACGACCAGCACAGAGCTTGTGGAAACGGAGAGGAGGGAGACCCGAGAGGGATAGAGATGAACAGCATCTCCGTCTTCAGAAGGCTGCAGGGGTTATCGTTCCAGAGCAGAAATTAGAACAAAATTTAAACAGAGGACATTTTAAATGCATTAAAAAAGCTTTAACATAGTTCCTACCATTTACCCAGAAGTTTCACTTCTAAGAATTTCACTAGAAGAATAAGCATGCACACTAAGATTGCT